TATTTTGTAAAAAATAAATTATTAAAAAATAAAATTATATTAAAAAAATTAAGTGGATGAGAATTTTAATAAGAAACAAACAATTGAAAAAATAGATTATATATTTTTAAATAAAATATGAATCTCTCAATAATTCAAATACATGTTTTTATGTTAATATTATAAATTATTTTGTTAATAAATATATATAAATTAAATATTTTCACTCTACGTATAGATTCAATTTGCATTAATCATTATAAATAAAATATCTGTTCATACTACATTATACAAATCATTAATATTACATATATAATGATTATCTGATCATTGCATAGTATGAGTATCTAATTAGTTTAATCTAAAATGACTTAACGTGCGTCGCCATCGTCAAATTTATTGCGACTCACATCTCAAATTGCATCTATTTTTTGTCAGCGTGCGGATAATTCTCAACTTGGAATCGAAAGAAAGGAAAAAACGCACGACTTTGTGAGCTTTTCCTCTTAGGCGTCGTGAATTCAACATGCTCCTACCAACGAGCAATTATTTGGACGTGGTATGTGCACTGTGTATCTATTATTCCAAATCCTCCTTAAAAAAATTGTGCTTGTTGTTCATGCTTCATCGCACGGTTACACTAACGTCTAAGATCTAAATAGGGATGACTATTGGGTTATTTGATTTCCATTTGGACAAATTCGATTTGGTTCTTGATTAATTTAATTTATATATATAAAACTGAATTTGAGTTGAAATATTTTTTGATTTTTTCTTTTTTTATTCAAATTTTGATATTTTTTAATATAAAAATGATAAGACTTTTTATTTTTCGAATATATATATATTATCCAAAATTTCAATCTACTACAAAATAACGTTAAATATCTAAGTCAATAATAAAACCCATAACTTATATATAACCCATAAGTCATAATTAACATATAATTTTTTTAGCAATCAATCAAAAAAAAAATAGAACTAATAAGGTGATATTTTTTATAGTTTAGATTGGGTTTTAAAAAATGAAAAAAAATAAATAAATAAAAACTAAATCGAAATCTTTGATTTTGAATTGGATAACGTTCATCTTGAATAAAATCATAAGGCTCTTCTTAAATAAAAAATCATGACTCTTTAAATAATTGTCATTACTTTATCCATATGATATAATAACGAAGACATAATCTGAATTTTTAGATGTAAAATATCCTAAAATATCCAAAAAAAAAAAAAAAAAAAAAAAAAACATTGGGGGTGCCGTTTTCGAAGAAGGGAGTAGCGCATGAAAGAAAAAGGGAAAAACTGTTGCAAGAAGTCAGGCACCTTAATTGCTATTTGTACTCATGGTCATAAATAAACAAAAGTGCAACTAAAGACAAGATTTTCCTCGTCCAAAAACTAAGAACTAGGTTTCCATTTAACAACAACAATGAAAATATTTAATTAATGACATGGACCAATAATTAAGCACTTACCCATTGGTGATCTTCAAGTCATAAACTAATTAATATCGTCTTTCAAGTCAGTGGTTTCTCTCTTTCTTCCTTCCTTCCTTGAAGGAAAATTCTGAAACCGGTACTGTTCTCAATATGGTGTGTTAAGCCTTGTTTTTTGGTCTATTGACCTTACAGAATCGGGTGCAGGGTGCTGATGGGTTTGAATTGGAGGGATGTTTGTGCTAAAGGCAAATGGATAGGTCTATCCCATGTCTCTGGGTTGCATAAGCATCAGCTTTGCCATATTGTGGCCAGTCGTCTCTATTAATGCAAGAGAACTTGTAGTGCTGCAATTATCACGAATCGTTTATTTCTCACATGACTAGTCTGTATTTAGCTAAGTTAGAAATATGGATTAGCCCGTCCACATGAAAATTAACATAAAAACATTGCCTATGTTGGATTAAAAAAAAAGAGAAAACCTGTGACAACAATTCTGAAAATATTTCTTCCGACTTTTGGTTTCACTGTTAAAAGATTCAGCGCTTTTCATATGGATGATGGTAACAATCTAACCGATACAAATTAAAGCCTTGAAATTATGTGAGTGTATTAAAAGCCGGTCTTGCCTTCTATGTTAAAGTCTATGGGGACTTAGCCTATTGTCTATGAATACTAGTGTAAATTATAAATTAGTCCCTTTCGTTTTGAGAAACTAATTAATTAGTCTATCTAATACTTATTAAGTTATTTATTTAAAACCTTATGTAGTTAATTTATAAAAATTGATCCAAAAATATATTTATTGTTAAGATTCTTAATAAATAAATAAAATGAAAGAAGTTTATGAAACACAATGTCTTTTACAAACCTCTTGTTGAATGTTTATTTAAATTTGAGAAAATATTGAGATACTGCCCGCTTTGGATGAAGAGAATAAACTAAAAGCTGAGACAAAATGAAGAGTCAGGAAATAAAAAATAAAAAACAGATGAAGAACATGCTTTTTTTCCAGTCTTATTGAATGTGAGCTAAAGAAAACAACTCATAAACTAAAACAGACTAAAACGGGGAACTGAAAAGATAAAAAGGAAAAGAATAAAATGCAACTTATCTAAGAATTAAAGAGTAAGGAGACAGCAAAATTAATGGCTTTGAGAACCATTGGACCGTAACCCACGGTTTTAATTTGCAATTTGAAAGAAGATGGATGTTCCGTCCGGGCCGATAATTTTTTTTTTTAATGCAATATAGATTTGTTTTCAAGTAAATTATGAATTAATCAATTTAAGAAAAAAATAAATAAATGATTTTTTTATCTCAAAATTAATTATTTAATTATTTAATTAATATTTAACTATTTTTTTACTCCAAAAACTAATTATTTAATTAATATTGACTATGTTTAATTTAATAATATTTCATTCTAAAAAATATTTTTTTCTCATCACTATTTTCAGAATATCTATTTATATTTTATGTTTTTATTTTTTAAAATAAAAAATAAAATGAATTAGAAAATAACATACAATGGACAAAAACACAATAATTAGTTTTTGAAACATAAGAAACTAATTAATTCTTTTCTCAAAATTAAAGGAAATAATTTATAATTTAGTCCTGGGTTGTCTGTCTTTTTCTTTCTTTCCAATTCAGCACTGTAATTATCAAAAAGAAAAATATATATTATAAGGTGGACAATGTTTTTATAGTTAAGCCGATAACATTTAAAATGAACCCTATTTTCATTTTTTAAAAAAATTATAAGGTGCTCAATATTTGCATACTAAGCCCACAGCATTTTAAAATTATATTTAGAAGCCTCTTTTTAAAAAGAATCACTAAGGTGCTCAATATTTTCATACTTAAGCCGATGACATTTAAAATGAACCCTATTTTCATTTTCTTTAAAAAACTATAAGGTACTCAATATTTGCATACTAAGCCCACAGCATCTTAAAATCATACTTAGAAGCCTCTGTTAAAAGAGAATTACTAAGGTGCTCCATATTTTCGTACTTAAGCCCATATCATTTTAAAATTACGCTTAAACCCCTGTTTGAAAACGTATACCCCTTCCTCTCTCTACCAAATCCGTCCAACCAACCCTCTCCGGCGCCGGCCACTACCTCCTCCGATCTCCTCCACCCCAGCCACTAGCCTCCCGTCGGCCACCATCTTCTCCAGAACCGGAAATCTCTTCTTCCTCCTCTCACCCCTTTCTCTCTCTTCAAGTTGTAACAAAGTGAGTTATTTCTCTATTTTTTAAAATTTCATGATTTAATGTGGTCTTTTCAGGATTTGAGTGGACTTTGTGTAAATATCGTCACAAAACTGTAGTACAAGTCGGTTAATGATGCGATTCTATAGAGTCCTGTGCTTTTAATCAACAAACAACAGTCCTGGGCTTTGTTTGCATTGGGCCACTTATGTTTCCAGCCCATATACGTGATCACAACCACCTCCTTGTTACAGTCCTCTTTCTGGGACTCTTCCACCCCTAACTCCTCCATCAAACATCGAACTACAAAAACGACATGATTGCTACTCCTCGACTAGACTCGACTCTGCGTCAGTAACTCATTCCACTTCTCACTGAAAAGTAACGCTTCTCCCTCTTTATAATTTTATTAATTCATTTAATTTAAGCATTTTTCTAGTCAATTTTAGAAGTTTAAGTTAATTTTATTAATTCCCTCTGTAGGCTAGTTTTTCTTTCTAATCGAAAAATATTGCATTCATTGCTTATAATAGACGACATGTAGTTTATTTGAAAAGTGGCGTGTCGTTTCAGTGTTATCGAATACATACTATGCTACTAGAAGGCAATTCCTGATCATTTTATGCATTCCTGTAGGAATCCGAAACCCTAAACCAAAAGCAAAACAGGTTTGAACTTTACCCATTGAAGATAACAGGCAGTTAGAGTATCTGATTTTTTTTTTTCGTTCTTGCATGGTAATCAATGGCTGCGCTTTTATGTTATTTTTCCCTTTACAGTTTTTCATAAATTTAATTTTGTAAATCTTTCATTATGTTATCGCTTAAACCCTAGACTAAGAGTATAAAGAATTTAATAATGGCTAGTAGTAGGTATTATAATTATGAAGATAGAGGGTTTTGATTTTTAAAGCACGGAGAATTTTGTGCCGTACTTGGTTCCTGATTGTTTGTGGTCCATGAATGTTATGTCTCTTTTCGTCCCGAAAGTAATGTGCAGGAGGAAATTTTGACTGATTGAATCATTGGAGGTGGGTTTTTGAATATTTTGACATGTTTGCGGACCTGCGACTGCTAGTCTGCTTGTGGTAGAGAGTACGGGAGGGAGACTGTGAAAGTGAATATTATGGAAATTTCCCCAGTTTTTTGTATATCTGGTTAGAAGAAAATATGGAAGTAAATCTTTAGGTTTCAATTGATGACTGTCTCGGTTATTTTTGGTGACTTGGATAGACTAATGGCATCTTGATTTGCTCATTCTTATGCTACTGGGGAGTGAATTAATACTAGCAATAAATGGTTGTGATAATGTTCTTCTTTTGTTCTTTGTTGGCAGTTGTGAGTGGTTAAGAGCATCCAATTATGGCTACAGTGAGTGTCTCTGGTTCAAAACCTCTCCCAGAAACTCAGCCAGCTGCCAATAACCCAGGTTCTGAAATTGCCTCCAAACCTCAAGTCATTTATCGCTGTAAAAGATGTAGAAGAATTGTTGCATCAGAGGAGAATATAATCTCCCATGAGCAGGGAAAGGGAGAACAATGCTTTAAATGGAACAAGAAAAGTGTCGACTCCTGCAAAAATGAAGAGCCACCTGAATGCTCTTCTATATTTGTAGAGCCCATGAAGTGGATGCAAACAGGCGAGTGTAAACTACAAATAACAATCATGTTCTATTTTGCAGCAATGTGCATGTGCCTTTTAGAAATGCCAACTAAGATTTGGATTTTGAAATTGCCAGTGCAAGAAGGTTATGTAGGGGAGAAACTTCAGTGCATGGGCTGCAAAGCGCGCTTGGGTTCATTCAATTGGGCAGGCATGCAATGCAACTGTGGAACTTGGATCAATCCTGCGTTTCTGCTTCACAAAAGCAAATTAGATGAATGCCATGTACAAGTAAGTTCTAGCAACGAGCAAAGCTAGGGGTTCCACTTAGGTTATTGGAGTTACCAGGCTTGGATGTCTCAGAATATCCAATTGACCCTTGCTTTTATCATAATGCTTGTCCCTTATAGAAATGTACTAGAACTGGTGGTCATAAGTCTTAAATTTGGAGTTACCAGGCTTGGATGTCTCAGAATATCCAATTGACCCTTGCCATTATCATAATGGTTGCCCCTTATAGAAATGTACTAGAACAGGTGGTTATAAGTCTTAAATCTAGTATTTTCCTTTTTGGATGTCCTTTCAGCATGAATGCAGTTCACATATATGCTAGGCGAAGGAAAAACTGAAGCAAGTGTTAGCCTGCATTCCTTCTTGGATGTTTTCTTTCACTAGATTACGTAAAATTAACAAATAAGAGAACTGAAGCTGGACTAAACAAAGATGAGATTAGTTGATCGAAGCCAATTGCAAGGTTTTGAGCTAGCCTTACCGATTTTAATAGTTTATTCATTACAAATCGAACAAATTGAATTCAATACTCAGAAGTAGACAAAAATCGATCAATCATGTTGAGCAAGAACTAGACGCGAATTAAAAATTAGCTAATACTCCAAAAATATTCCTCCACATACACCCAATCCATGCATACAAAGCTTACCGCATCAGCATAATGATATGGCTTCTGATTCTTGAATATCAAACCAGACAATCTCAATTATTCCGAAATGTTTGGTTTAGTTCTATCTTATATATTCTTTGACAAATCTACTGTATTTGGAATTAATCTAGCCTTTCCCAGTGAGAAACCAGAAGAATTGCTACTTTGACGTGAAGAATTATTTAAACAAATTTGTAAAATTTATAATACGTCCTATTAACAGTAATTGTTTATTACCTGGATTAGCCATTATAAGAATGAAACTTGTTGACAAATACACTTAACTGTCCTTTATAGTTTTGAAGTTTATTCATGACTCGATCTCAATTCCCTCATCCACTTATCAATACAGCATACCAAGGGCACTGAGGTTAGAGTCCAACCTGATTAAACCATGGCCAGGTTGCTGGGATTCCAGAGCAAAAGTGACAGGGATTGACCAGAAAGATGTAAGGTGAGTCCATGCAACTGCTTCCTTCATGCTTCATCTGCATGGGAAAGGTATTGTATTAAGAGCAGAGCTAGGTGATTAAAAATGATGTGCTAGAATTAGATATTATCATATACTTGAGTACCCTGAGAATTGAGCTACGTTTTAAGGGCATAAATTTGCATTTTTAACACATGAAGGTTTCTTAGCATTCTAGTAGAAATGTGCAATCATCTGGACCAACTCATTTGCAGTTCGAAACTCTGCATTGTCCATCATTTCATAAGAACAAGGAAAGAAAGGAGCTTGAATGTGTCTTAATTTAGGTGGCAACTAAGCAAATACCATTCTCTTGTAATTCTGTTAAGGAAGCAATATGCCCTTACCTTTCTCCCTATGCAAGATCTTGTTTCCTCGTAAAAACAAAATTTGAGGGCATCCTTTAACTTTAAGAGCATATGCAAAATCTCTCTCGATGTTGATGTCTATCTTCACTGTCTGATCCCAAAAAATCCAAGGTCAACAAAATTAGCCATCCACGTGACGCAAAAATTTGACAAAATCCAAGCAACCAGCTTCTGAGGACAAAAAACAAACTAGAAATCGAATTGAATAGCGTCACCCTAAAGATCTGTCATGAATATTTTTAGAGTATTAACTAATTTTTAAATCTAGTTCGATTTGTTTTGCCAATGTCATGCCTAGCTATTCCTTCGCTGTTCAGTTTCTGGGCAAGCATGTGGAGGCTTGTAGCCTGAAGTTCTACTTGGCTTCGGGCTTAAACTTTGTTTGAAATTAATGGCTTTTTGGCATATATGGTCTTGAGAGTCATTAAACCCTTGCTGTCTCAAATCACCTCCATGTATTTCTCAAATTTAGCTTGACATATCCATTTGAGTGTGGTTTGAGTCGTTCATGTATGAACTCTGTTAATTGGATTTCAAATTTCAAAGTGCAATCTACTGGTTGGCCAGAAAATCCGGTTGTAACCAATCTTCTTAACCAACATATTCAACTTTTCTTCTCCACATAAGCTATTATGATTTGACATTAATTGGCCAATTTCAATTATTACAGTGTAAACTATCATCTCTAACGTAATAATCTTTCTTAATTACTATAATATTATTATCACTAAATCCTTAATGAGAACACTGCAAAAGGGAGAAAGGAAACGAAATGAGGCAAAACTACTACATTTAGGATTTAAAGCATGTAGAACTAGCGGAAGTGGCTGGATTTGCTGGTCTTCAACTTAGGAAAGCTTGGTGTAAATCACTGACCAGCAGCAAATGCCTCTTGCGGGAAAGTTTTCGTGATACCTGCGAGGCTCTTGAAGTGAATTTTTCCAGTGGGTGGGTCATCAACGATGATCTGACTAACTGGAGGCCAGAGCATGAGCTCTTTAGCCTTCACTCCCTTTAGTTTCTTGATGTTCTTCTTGCTGAGAAAACCAGTTATTTCAGTGTCGTAGCTTACGAGCTTGCTGATCATCTTGAAGTTGTGCTCGACCTTCGTCTTTTGCAGGATCCACATGTATCCACTGTTCTTAACAAAACCAACTTCAACAACATCTGCAAGAGGGAGAAGTCCTCGAGGAAGTTCAAACTCCTCAAGAAGGGAAGCTGCCATTTTGAGCCCCTCTTCATGACCCGTCTTCACTATTGCTCCTTCCTTCTTGGCCATGGCTGATGAATTTCCTAGCTTCTCTGGTTATAACTAAGAGCTCACTTAGAGGCTAATTTTGATTGACTGGACTTAATTTTAGGTACTCTATTTATATAGACCAAGTTATCACATGCATTAGACAAACTTAATGGAGAAAACAAAGAAACTATCCTTGTATTAACCACCAAAATTATTGGATTATTTCAAACTGATGTTATCTGTATGTCTTGTTTAAATGCTTCAGTGGCAGCTACTTTAACATATGTTTTATTTGGGGATACTGATCGATACACCCTACGAACGAAAGTCATTTTCATATGAAATCTCTATATCAACGCCAGCTTTTCTCCACGGAATAAAGTTTTTTTTTTCATTGTTATGAAATAATGAATGTACATTTCATATTTCTCACTATTTATATGATTCAATTCATCATTCAATATAAGAAATTGAAAGGGTGATGCACTTTATTCAATTATTTATGCATCTTTTAATGGTTCATAATTCTTTCAAATTCTCTTCCAAATCTTGAAGCTTATAAACAGGTTTGATTGTTCATTAGTTTATGCACAAGTATTTTATAGAGATTAAGAAATTATTTAGAGTTGTAATCTCTTGTATTCACTTTATTTTATAGTGAATTCATTTTTCCATTATCTTTCTCTTCAATTATACTATTGTTATTATTTTTTTCATAATATGTTATCAGCACGAAGCTCTAACCAATCGAGATAATATATCACGAGGTATGTATCTACCATAAGACTTAATCATTTGTTTCAATCATTGGATTTTTTTTTCTATACAAGTGTTCTATCAAAAGATCTAAATTATTTAGATTATTAAGAGGTATGTATCTAATTTATCATACACTTTAAATCTAATGATACATACAATATACATTTTAAAAACTTAAAGGATTTAATATATAGAATTTAATAATCTAATATATATTGTTTGAAAAATTTTAATTTTATTATTATGTTTGTTTTTATTTTTATTTTATCATTTATTTTGTTTTTATTTCTTAATATTATTATTATACTTTGCATTATCGAATTTTTATGATATCAAACCTTACAAAAGTTTATTTTTGTGGCCCTTGATATTTTGGGTAAGAATTATTAATCATGAGTGTTTGATACTAAATAAATATTCTCTACTTTTCATGTCTCGAATATGCTCATGCAGTAGCATATCGAAAAAATGAGTTTAAGAAATATTATAAATTGATTTTATATTTGCTCGTTGCTAAATAAAATGACAAGCTATTGATGAACAAGAATAATCTCATCTAATTGGATTTACTCCATTCCTTAAAGTGAATGTGACAATTTATAGTAATTTTAGACATGAATGAAAACTTGATCATAGCCATAGATGTGGTCGAAATAATTATCATTATAATCATGATGACTATGATAATATATCTCACCATCGAAGTTGATAAACTATATATAAAAAAAAATAAAAATAAAAATGGATCAAGTTAGTATTCGAAAATGAATATTATGATATGGCATGAATAGACATTGATTGCTTATCCGTCGTACACTAACACATCGCATTGAGCCTTATCAAGCCTTGTTGAAAAAGAAAAAGTAAAATATAAAGACTAATTTTATATATCAAAACGGTGGTAATTGAAATTAATAATTTATTAACTTTTTTATTTATAAATAAGATATTTTATATTTTTCTTATAATTTTTATTGCATAGAGATAAATATAAATTTATTTTATTATTTATTTATTTGTTTTTATGAAGAATATATTTATTTATTTATGTTAATATTATAAATGATAATATCAATATAATAGAAAGCTCTTAAAGAGCGGTTATATTATTATCCGAAGAAACAAATTTTGAAGGTTTTACAAAAGCGAGTATATTATTACTTAAAGAGATAAATTTTTGAAGCCCTATAAGAATGAGTATATTATTACTTAAAAAGATAACTTTTAAAGGCTCTTGAGGAATTTATATATTATTACTTGAAGTGACATAATTTAAAAACTCTAGAAGAGCAAATGTGTTTTATCCGAAAGGGTAAATTTTATTATAAATGATATACTATTTTCTTCAAAGTCTCATAGAAATTTATTGAATTTCAAAGATATTCATATAAATTGATATCATATTAAGATACCAAATGTGAATGCTTATGTATTATAATTATTATACTAGGTAAAAAATATGTATTGAAAAATTCACTCACTTTCTCTTATTTGAAAGATTGAAACAAATGATATAGTAAACTAGAAGTTTACTAATTCAAATCCTTTTATTATGTGACATGACCGAGTTACGTTATCCCGGGTTTTTCATAATTCGAAAAATTATTGAAAATCCATATGGACATCTATCGAAGGGCTAAAAGATTCTTCAATTTAATGAATTTTCTTGTTCTACATATTTTCAAGGTAAATTGATTATTAATCAATCTCTAAAGAAAATTAAAATTGAATCTTCGATATTTTTAGAATGCATTCAAGGTGATTATATGTGTGGATCAATTCATCTACCACGTGGATCATTTAGATGTTTTATAATTTTAATAAATACATCTATAAGATGGTCGATACATGCTTATTATCTACTTGAAATCCGATGTTTTCTAGATTGCTAGCAAATAATTTAATTGTGAGCATAATTTGCGGATTATGTCGTTAAAACAAGTCGTTTTGATAATGCTAGTGAATTTATTTCTCAAGCATTAAATTATTATTGATTGGCTATTAGAATAAAGATTGAATATCATGTTGCTTATGTTTATACTCATAAAAGTTTAGCATAATTATTTATCAAAAGGTTTCAATCAATAGATAAATCATTATTTATAAAAACAGAACTCCCTGTTTATGTTTGGGAACATCTAATCTTACATGCGAGCAACACTTATTTGCATCGGACTCATAAGTTATTAAAAATTCTCTCCTCTTTAATTGGTTTATGATCATGAGCTAAATATTTGTTATTTAAGAATTTTTTTAGCATTGCGAGTATATATCCACGAGTGCTCATCCACAATGAACTAAAATGAGCACTTAAAGGACATTGACAATATATGTTGATTTGAATCCTTTCGGTAATTAAATATCTTGAACAATGAATAAGAGATATTTTTACAACTCAATTTATCGACTATCATTTTGATGAAATATTTTTTTCAATATTAGGGGAGAGGATAAACAAAATAAGCGATTGAAAATGTTATAAAAAGAGATTACATAGAGTACTCTAGCTTAATATCAACTTGATACAAAACAATATGAACTAAAAGTTCGGAAGATAATTCGTTTACAATATATTGTAAATCAACTGCTAGATGCATTCTCGGATCCTAAAAGAGTAACTAAAATGCATGTCTCTCGCTAAGAATGCTTCTATTAGAATTGATGTCCTAGAAAGACAGTATATTAATATTATAGCTCATGAATCTAAAGCACGCCTAAAGTGTGAAAGACCGATCGGTTCTAAAGACAAAAATCCCCAAAAGAAAAAGGCAAGATGAAAATATAAAAGATACAAATATTCATAAAATGACCCAAGATAAATATGATAATAGGCTTTCAAAAGAAGTCCAAATGCTTGAGAAAAATCAAGAGATTTTGATAAATTATGTCAATATAGGGAGAAAATAAGACTGAAAAGAAACATCTATTGATAAGAATTTTGCATATAATGTTGCAATTGATATTTTGAATGAAAATAAGGAACATGAGTCTAAATCTATTATAGAATGTTGACATAGAGATGATTGGCCTAAATGAAAAAAGTGATCCGGACGAAATTATATTCTCTTGCAAATGAGTAGTTTTTAAACTCATAGTCAAAACACCTAAAGATGTTAAACTAATAGAACACAAATGTATATTTTTGTGAACACGAAATAAGAAAGATGAGATTATAAGATACAGAGCAAGACTTTTAACATAAGAGATTTTACAAAGACTCGACATTGACTATAAGGAGATATATTCTCCTATAATGGATGCAATTTGATTTTGTTATCTCATTAGCTTGGTAAAATATATGAAAAAATTCATATGTATGCATTTAATGGATGTGATTATAGCTTATTTCTTTAGTTAAAAATGATATTTATATGAAAATCCTTAAAGGACTTAAGATGCCTAGAGCATGAAATACATATTCTCAAAAAATGAATTCAATCAAATTATAAAAATCTTTATCGAATTATTTTAGTATTACTTTTATTATTTTAGCTTTTAAAAATTCAATTTATGCTATATTTTTTTCATTTATTTTTTTATTTTTCAATATCTATTCTTTATTACTAACTCTGTGTACATATGGTATAATTATTTCAATAAATATTTATTAAAAGAAAGTTATAAAAATAATCATATTTATTCATGTATTTTTATAAAGAAATTCAAAAAAGGGTTTATGATAGTTGTTATATATGTTAATGATTTAAATATTAGTGAAACTCCCGAAGAGATTCAAAGTGTCATAAGTTATCTAAAAGGAGAATTTGATATGAATATCTTAGGAAAAAAATTTTATCTTGACTGCAGTTCGAGCACTTGGAGAATGATATTTTTATTCATCATTCAATTTATATAAAAAAAGTTCTACAATGATTCTATATAAAGCTCATCCATTGATTAGCTAAATGGTGGTTCGTTTACTTGACATCCAAAGACACCCTTTTCGACTTCAAGAAGATAACAAAGAATTATTTAGTCTTGAAGTACCATATCTTAATGCAATTGGAGCATTGATATATCTTGTTAATAATACTCGGTCCGATATAGCCTTTTCTATAAATTTATTAGCAAGATATAAGTTTTGCTCTAATACGGAGACATTAGAATGGAATTAAACATTTCCTAAATTATCTCTAAGAAAAAATTGATATGGTATTTATTTTACTCAAATAAATCAAAATCAAGTTTAATTGGTTATGCGGATGCGGGGTAGTTATCCGATCCATACAAAACTCGATCGTAAATGGGTTATGTATTTACACTTGGTGATATAGTTATAT